ATGATTGTAGTGTGTTCCACGATGTTAGCGTGTTCCACGATGTTAGTGTGTTCCATGATGTTAGCGTGTTACATGATTGTAGTGTGTTCCACGATGTTAGCGTGTTCCACGATGTTAGTGTGTTCCATGATGTTAGCGTGTTACATGATTGTAGTGTGTTACACGATGTTAGCGTGTTGCATGATGTTAGCGTGTTGCATGATGTTAGCGTGTTCCATGATGTTAGTGTGTTACATGATGGTAGTTTTTTCCATATTACCACTGTGAATACAGTAACTGAGTACATGTACTGTGTGGAGGTGAGCTCACCTGGGCAACTCAACCAGCAGGTACAGGAAGGAATCAGCCAATGGGAGCTTAGAGACGTCGCCTCTGTAGGTCTTCAGCTTCTTCACCTTCAGAACACAGCAGGTACAAACATGGAGTATTCATACAGTGTACTGGTTTGTGTACTGCTGTGTAGTACTCTGTGTACTACTCAGTGTACTACTGTGTAGAACAGTGTAGTGCTCAGTGTACTGTGTACTGCTTCTACTGTGTACTGCTTCTAATGTGTACTGTGTAGTACTACTGTGTACTACTGTGTACTGCGACTACAGTGGCAGTGTCTCCAGAGAAGGCGCCCCCTGCTGGCTGTCTCAGGGCTGCAGCTCCTCTCAGGCTGACAAAAGGTGAACATTAGCGATCCGGTTTAGCGTCAGCGTCGGGGTTGTTTTTACCTCTTCGCTCTCCGGCAGCAGCTTCAGCAGCTCTCTAAGAGGCTCCGCCCCAAACGCCTTGCTGTTGCCATGACGAATATCATCTACTATGCTGTGATTGGACCTGGAGGAGGAACATTACAGGTATAATTAGCAGTCAGGTGTTGTTCCCTCAGTTTAACATGGAGGACTGAAGGTTCTATTTCAGTTATTATCTGGTTCCACCTCCACTAATGTTCAGGTTTTCTCAGATATCAGGAGACTGTAGCCTTAAATTCTACTTCAACACAAAATAATCAGCTAAATGAGAACCCTTCTATTCCACCAACCCTCGTCTTTAGTTGCTGAAGTGCTGCTTGGATACTTGGACCTGTTTCTGTCACTCCAGTGTTGATACACAACCTGTATCTAAACTCTGAACCGAAACCTGAAAACGTCTTGAAGTTCATCTCCTGATGACACCATCTATCAGATTTTCAGCTTTCCAACAGTCCTTGAACTAGTCATCTGTGATGTGTTGTTCTAGCAGGAAAATTTACCAGAAACCTTTTGACTTGTAGTATTTCATTAAAATCCTTTTATTCTACACGTCATTAAAAATGAACCGTTTGCATTAATGAAATGGTGTAAAACTGAAATATACATATATATATACATACATATGTATATATATGTATGTGTATATATATATATATATATATACATATATACATATGTATGTATATATACATATATATATACATACATATGTATATATATATGTATGTATATATATACATACATACACATATATATATATGTATGTATATATGTATATATATATATACATACATATATATATACATATGTATGTATATATATGTGTATGTATGTATATATACATATATATATACATACATATGTATATATATGTATGTGTATATATATATATATACATATATACATATGTATGTATATATACATACATACATATATATATATACATACATATGTATATATATATGTATGTATATATATATACATATATATATACATACATATGTATATATATGTATGTGTATATATATATATATATATATACATACATACATATATATATATATATATGTATATATGTATGTATATATATGTATGTATATATATAGCAGCCACGGCGGACTCAGCTGTAACCAACAGTCAGAAACATTCAGAGTTCTCAGCTGAACTGCAGGCAGTGTTTCCACAACTAAACAGGTAATAGTTCAGCATCAATCATCTGAAGAGACATCAGCACCAGTGATGGAAACATCTGGAAACATGCTGGTTCCAGGTTTTTAAACTTTTATAAATAAATCATCACAGAAATGTTCTCTCTGGTCTCCATGGTTCTGACTGAGTCCTGCTGGCAGAAGACGTCTCTGAGTTCTGTCTCCTTCATGTTGTTCTGGTTCCACAGAGCTGCAGGACTTGATGTTGACCAACAGAGAAGCTTCCTGTGTTCGTCAGTGTTACCTGCCTCAGGTGTGGCTCAGCTTCATACCTGCATGTGTGTGTTTGGTAACACTCAGAGTGAACACGGTGTCTGTTGTCGTCCTGCTGCCTCCCTCCACGTTGTCCAACCTGCTGCTGCCACTTCCTGTCTCTATGTGGTTGTTCTATGTGAACACGTTATAGTCAGTCTGAGTCTCTTTGCAGTCACTCTGTGTGTCTTTGAGGTCACTCTGTGTGTCTTTGAGGTCACTCTGTGTGTCTTTGAGGTCACTCTGTGTGTCTTTGAGGTCACTCTGTGCGTGCTGCAGCTGCTTTGACCTTCAGAGCGCTGAACCCTCCACACACAGCAGCTCTAACTGGACATAAACATCAGTCACATGACGTCCGTCGACATTCCTGCATCACCAAACCAGTTTACCCATAACAGGCGGGATGAGGGACAGGAAACATGTCTGACACGCCAACACGCCGACTGTTCAGTGAATCAAACATCAAGGTGAAATATTCAGATTGTTACCTGAAGCCAACAGGCTCCGACTGACTCTCACGTCACTAATCTGAAGGTGTGTTTACTGTCTGAGGAAGGTGGCAACGCTCTGAGCTCTCAGGTTGTTCATGTGACTGTGGACAAACATTTAGCGCTTCAGGCCTCACAGGTGAGAAAAGGTGTGTCTGAGGTCAGCGTTACCTCTTGAACTGTTTGAGGAAAATGCCAACGTTCATCCCTCGCTTGGAGTCCAGAATGGAGAGCTGGTGGAGAGACAGAGAGACAGAGAGACAGGTGAGCAGGTGTCGCTGTGAGGTCACACACCTCCACCTGCTCCACACCTTCCCCAAACAGACACACCTCCTCTCTGGCGTCTCTGAAGGAGCCCCTGCTCCTCCCGGCCCTGCTGGGCGTGGCCGAGGCGTCCCATTGGCTGTCGTTATGGCCAAACAGCTCCTCGATGGTGCGGACGTCGATCTGCTGCTGCGCTGGGCCCTGAGTCCACAGGTTGGCCCGCCCCCTCACCTGAGACACAGGTAACTGGTCAGAGCCCAGCTCCAGTCCCAGCCGCGTGTTCTGGACGTCTGAGCACGGCAACATTAAATCACAGCGTACGAGTTCATGCGTAAATTCATCTGGCCTTGAACGGCGTCTCTGTGACACCTTCATTACATCCTTATTTGTGGTCTTATGGACCTTCTGAGCTTCCTGTATCCTGTGTTCTGTATGCAGCTGAAGGATCAATCAAGCTGATCTGGTCTGATCCTCACACAGACACACTGGAGTTTCTCTTCTGTCTTTAAAGTTCAGTTTGAGACTCAGTGCCTTCATTTTAGGTTCTAATTCAGTAATTCATCCCGTCAAGCTGTGATCAGCGATACATCTCCTCAGACTGGTTCTGTTCTGCTCTCCAAACCTCGGGCCGTGAGACACCCGTGTCCAAGTCCTCAACCAACAGAAAGCCGACCAATGAAGTCGTTGCTGCCTCCTTGCAGATGCTCTACTTACTACAGAGTCTCCATGGACCTGTGTGGCGGAGGTCATGCCCTCCAGCGTTTATTACAAGTTCTTCAATGCACAGTGGAGATGGTGTTTACATGTTTAAAGTGTCAGTTTGTCACTATATCAGCTGCACATAGCAGGAGGCAGCGCAAACAGCAAACACCAAGAACACTCAGAAGCAGTCTGAGGAGATGCATCCAGCTGAAGCGTTGGACATCTGAGCAGCAGACAAATGGTCGTGTTGCACCAAGCAGAGGAGGCGTCACTAAATCTGAACGAGACATAAAGAAACAACTCTGGACACTGAAAAACTGGCATCTTCATCAAAGAAACCACAGAGACTTTAAGTGGACGCTACCTGCTCCTCAGGGATGGGTTTCCAGAAGAAGCTCCTCACCCTCCTCTTCCTCCTCAGGCCGACCACAGGGTCTCCCAGCCCTGGAAGGAGGGGTGGCAGGGGAGGTGGAGGGGGTGGGGCAAGGAGAGGGGGCGGAGCAACAGGAGGAGGAGGGGGAGGAGGAGGGTCAGGTAATCTCGTCTCGACACCTTCGATGTCTGAAAACCGGGAAGGAGGTGGAGGAGGAGACATCGGCACGGCAACGGCTACATCCTCCTCCTGGAAGGACAAACCCTCGCTCTCATTGGCCGGGGAGACGCTGCCCATCACGTGCATCCCCGCAGCTGATTGGACGGAGCAGAGAGGACTGGATGACTGGAAGGTCACCAAGGTGACGGGCGACCATGGCGACTGTTGTCATGACGACGAAGAAAAAGACTGGCCATCGTGTTCAGAACTTTGGCGGACACGAGGAGTCAAAGGTGAGTTGTGTCGGTCAGCTGAGAGCTGGAAGGAAAAGGTTTGAGTTAACTTGGTTAACAGCTGGTTATCTACTCATCCAGCAGTTACACAACAACACTACTGATCAGTCCAATGTTTACTCCACTTTAGCTATAATTGGTCTCCACCAGACCATCTGTCCACTGGGAGACACCTGTGGCACCTCACCTGTAAACACTCCTTACGAATGCTAAAAATGAGGAATGCTAGCCACCAGCTGTGGGATGCTAATAGCTAATCTCGGGATACTACTGACTAACCTAGCCATGTTAGGTGCTAATTTAGAGATGCTGTTCAGTAGCCTGGAGGTGCAGCTGCTAGTTTGCGGATGCTAATCACTAGCTTTGGGTGGGTGGAGACTTTACTGACAACGCTGGTTGCTAACTTTCTGGATGCTGCTTGTTCTGGATATGCTAGTGACTTGCCTGGGGATGCTAGCCACTACTCTAAGGATGCTAACTGCTAGCCTGGGAATGCTACAAGTACAGGACGACTCTGAATTGGAGGAAGATGAATCACAGAAGGATTTGGAACAGGAACAGAAGAAGAACCAGAGGAGGAACTAGAGGAGGAAGCAGAGGAGGAACCAGAAGAAGAACCAGAGGAGGAAGCAGAGGAGAACCTGTGTTCATTGCAGTTAAACGTACAAAGTTGCTGCTGATGTGGAAAACTCCATGTGACCGTGCTGACCTCAGTGACATTTGTTTAGTTTATGCTGTTTGTAAGAGTGAGTGCTGCTTTCACAAATGTGCTCTAATTAAATGAAAGTCAATTAAACATTTAGAACATTAAATATTTGCTCTTCTGTCGTGTTTCTGTTTTTCTGCCGTCGACTCTTTGCTTCATTCAAACTGACTGTTTGTTTTCTGAATCAAACAGCTCCGCCCTCACCTGGACGGCCAACCAGCTGCTGTTCAAAGGTGTGCTGAGGACAGAGCACACCTGACTGGGGGATTCCTGCTCCCCAGAGGATGAACGGTGCAGCGACAGCCTCCTGATTATTAACAACATTTCTGTGACCTGTTCAGTTACAGTGCAGGAAAACTGTCCGTCTGAGAGTCACAGCGAGTTCAGGCTGCGTTCCTGCTTCATTATTCAACACACACAGTTCCTGGTGGGAGGCCGTGGAAGCGTGTCGACGGACAGGAAGCTTCCTGCTGCTGAATTCAAGATGAATGTGTGACTGTGAGATAACTGATCGATCAACTCCGTGTCTGAAACATCAACATCATTCCTTCCGTCGTTCAGGGAAACAGCATCACCATCTCCATGAAAAAAAC